AGAGAGAGAGAGAGAGAGAGAGACAGAGAGAGAGAGAGAGAGAGAGAGAGAGAGAGAGAGAGACCCTGGAAGTGTTTCAGGGTAATAATCACCATCAGTTCTAGGAGGACCAACTAAAGTGCTTCCTGCCATATTGAAGTTCAGACTTTGAGAAGTGATAAAGGGAGACTGAGAGAGGCATACGCCAACCACGTGCACAATGTCTAAGAGTTGCGGCAGACAGAAGCGTGGAGCTGTGAAGAAACCAAGGGATAATAGATGAGCATCCATCACAAACAGAAATATAGAAATATATAACTGTCTCAAAAAGTGAGATTTAACTACTGATGCCAACAAGCAGGCACATTCACGACTTCACTCCCGCAAACACATCTGCAGGTGAGTCGCGCTAAGTATATACTATATAGACAACAGTAGCGAAACAGGAGCGAAACCCGCATCCTGACATCTTTCCCCAATCCACAATGCCAGAGGAAGTTTTGCGTTGGACGAGTTGTAAACCTGCCTCGCAGGACAAGGCCAGGTTACAGCCGCAGGTACAGCCACTGGTACAGCCAGTTACAACCTCAGGTACAGCTAGCAGGATCCAGGCAGAGCCAAGCAAATCTGTTTGCAGGATGGCTTACATCTTGCCAGCCATCATCCTGGCTGGTTCACTTTGCGCAATGGGTTGGAAGATGGCACTCTTTCTCACACAGTGAATGACCAGCTGGCTTTTCATCAATGACATCAGCTTGCTTGGAGCTCAACTCTTTGAATGACCATTCAGGTCCTTTGATGCTCCTGGCGTATTTGTGAACTTTGTGGTATGCCCCTCTGGGTAGTAGCTGCTCGCTACATATTCCCACAACAGATGCACCCCATGATCCTCAATGTATCCACCACTGGCAGTGCACCCTGGTGCATTACAAAGGCAATGCTGAAACCACCAGTACCTTTCCCCTCTCGAAAAACAAATACCTGCGGGTTAACACGGGCAACTTTCGACGGCACGGGTACCAGATTGAGATGGCTGGCAGCGCCAACCACAATGAGGCCCGCGTCGTTGCGATTTTAGGCTTGGCACCGATAGCCGGGAAAGGTGCTGGTGTGTTTAACAAAGTTGTCGACAAAAAGAAGAGCATGCTGAGCAAGGCGTAGCCAGGATCTAAATGAGACTTGGCAGGGAGGAGGGGAGGAAGACGGGGTTGGGGGAGGGGCAGAGGGGCAGAGGGGGAGAGGGTTAGGTCAGGAAGTGGGTGTGGTGTTGGATAACATGCATATCCTCCTCTGTAAACCACCTTAAGAAATAATGAATCTGTTTTTCTCTCAAACTTTTTCTTTCACTTTTTCATGCAAGACTTGACTGGTGAAAAAGCAGATTGCCGGAACGAGGGGCGGATAGAGGGGGGAGAGGGGCCAGGAGTGGGGATGCCAGGGGGGAGGGCAGGATGGGGTAAGGTAAGAAAGCGGGGTGACAACACAAAGGAAGGGAGACAAGGGGGGTTACTTTAGTGCGTAGATTCTCAAGGGGAGTGACAAAGGAACGAGTGTGTTTCACAGGTGAGGGGAGAAAGCACCAATAGGTCCAATACCCTTACTCACCAGTGCACTAACCCACCTTGGAGAGTTCCACAATATGCAAGATCCTCCTGTGGACCAATTCAGCTTCATGCAGCTGCCGTGACTGTACCAAGAGCTGTGAAAAAGTTGAAGAAACATCACACCAACTAATCGTGAGTTTGGGCATCCTCTTCCCAAGCACATTGCTCAGGCTCTTTGAGACTCTTTGAGAGAAGATTAACGCATTGACACTGAAAATGAGAAAGAAGATTAGAGCTTTAATATCATCATGGCGTAGATCCTCTTCCTCTCCTCACACCTATATCGCGATAGCTGTTGCCACAGTCTCAACCCTTCCACTCTCGCCCAAAGTTCTCAGACTCTTTTATTCCATTATATCAGTTCTTCAAGTTCGAAGTTTTCGATGCGCATTTTTCGACTGTTTCCTTCTTCAAAGGTTTTGATGCACATTCTTCGTCTGTTTCCTTCTTTGAAGGTCTTGAAGCTTGTTGTGATGTACATTCTTCTTCTTTTTTCTTTTTCTCAAGCCAACAGTCCCCTTTTGGCTCAAGGAACAAAGATAAAAAAAGAAGAACATACATCACAGCCTACTGGTAGCAGCAGAGAGCCAAAGAAAACCGGTAGCGGCAGCGAGGAGGAGCAGAAGTAGGCAAACCTCGGCCAGCAGTCTTTTTTTTTTTTTTTCACTCCTTCAATGTAGCTATTTCACAGTGTGCCGTTGGTTGCAATAGCACGGTGGTCCGCCGCGTTTCGGCACTGCTTTGACCAAAATGGTCCTAGGCTGTCAATTCACAGTAGCCATTTTTTTTTCAAATTGGCAGTAAGAATTTGTGAACCTGCCATGGTACCAGTCGATTTCGCCAAAAGGGGACAGTCAACTTCGAGCGGGTGTTCATGTTCATGACCTGCAGTGCACAGCAACACATCCTGAATGGGGTTTCATTGACGGGGTTGTGCAGTTGACGTTTGAACTGAGCTCGTTGTGCTGCAGCCGCTGCTGGAATGCTCTCACAGTGAGCCCTGTCTAGTTCTTTCTTCTCTCCCCTGCTATCCACTCACTCGCTCTGTTCAGTTTTGGGCGACGTACGTACCTGCATAATTGCAGTCTAACAAATCTGCACTTTTCTGAGGAATGCTGTCTGTCTTTTGACCTGACTGCTCTGAATAAGAGACTGTTTAGCTGTATTTAAGTCTGTGTGCACCCTGCTCATGTTGTATGCATGCTGTATGCTCTCCTGCTAGCCTGGGTTGAAGTCCGAGTCAGCGTGCTAACATTGTCGGGCATGCTGTGTGTCTGTACCTCAGACAGGGGTAGAATAGGTAATAAGGGTAGCAAAAGGGACAGGGCTGAAAGTTAGCGGCATGGGGTGTACGGAGGTTAGTCTGTCGACCAGGGACAGAGGTAGACTTTGTCAGGGGCCGGTAGAGATATCCACCAGAGATATCGCAGTAAGTCTGGCAGGCCTAGAACGGTCCAGTAGCTGTCTTGTAGGTCACGATCATCTGGGGACTGAGTTCAGACAATTCTAGAGGTAGATTCAGGCCTTTTAGGTAGATATCAGTCTGCAATTAAGTTCCTGCCAAAAGCAGAAACACCCGGTGAGCCTAGTGCACCCAAGGGAGTTGGGGAGAGATAGGAAGTGGCTGGCCAAGAGGGGCAGCAAGAGTGCGTCAGTCGGTGCGATTAGTCCGCTCGTTCACCGGGCAGTCACGCTGGTGCTCTGTGCAAAGGGAGAGTGGGCCTGAGCACTTGGGTGATGAAGAAGGAGCTGAGAGCGAAGTAGAAGATCTCAATCACTATGCAGGAGAAGTAGGGGAAGGTAGGAGAAGGCCTAAGCTATGGGGGTAGAGGGAGAAGACCTTCCAGCCAGGCTACGGAGGTAGAGGGAGAGGTCCTTCCAGCCAGGCTATGGAGGTAGAGGGAGAGGTTGAGGAGGATGAAGGAGGTGGGAACTGGCAAGCGGACTTACTTTTGCCTATGGTAGACCTGCATCTTCATCTTCCTGGTTGGTGCTGCATCAAGAAGGACCCTGCTGCGGTACCGGTTGGACACTGACTTCATCCGGAGGGCGGCTATGGCGGTTCATGAGAGGAGAGGCATGCTAGTAGTTGTGTTGTCCGTAAGCAGCCGGCCATACCAAGTGGAGAGGAGGGGAAAGGTGGTTAAGGGAGAGCTCTTTCTGCCATGGCAGCGCGGGGAAATGGGGCTAAAAGGAGAGCTCTTTCTGCAGCGGCTGCCACATACACAGCCCGCGTCCCATAAGCATGAGTAGGGGGAGAGAGAACAGTGATATCCTGCTTGATCCCAGGTTTGTTATGGGACCCCAGGAGGCTAATAACCTTTTTTGTGAGTTCCATTATCATCATCTAATGGACCAATAAACAACACAAGGAAGCGTTGAAAGAACAGACAGGTCGAGCAGCCCTACCTCAGCAAGCCGTGACATTCGTCTAATCGCAGCAGGAGAATATCCACCGCCAGACTCCTGGAACAAGACCAGAGAAGGAAAAACAGCGAGGGCACCCAGCATTGTGCAACCCGCGAATCAGCACCTATTGCAAGGAATATGAGCGAGAGCAATATACAGAAAACCAAGTTGCATAATCACGCAGATGTCCAGATAGTCATGTACAATCAGAGAGCATAAATGCAGCGAGATTCCATCCAAATAAGAGCAATACAATGAACTCGTGAGCCAATGTTCAATCCCTCAGGCCACACCAACACAGTATTCAATGTCGCTCCTCTCTGTCTGGCGCCCAGCACCCAGCCTACACTACTTGCCTATCTACTACAGCCGCATTCACGCAACTGGCTCACTTCGACTTTGAAGACCAATGTACATGACGTCAACACCATAGCCGACCTCCCTAATGCACCAGGTACGTACCTCGTCTCCCCTCGCCCCCTCCCAAAGACCTGGCCCGCGCCCTGCAGCCCGGCTATGGCTGCTAGCGCCCTGCTGCCCCTGCAGCGCCCTCACCTCCAGCGACCGTGTGCGCCCCTGGCCGATTAGCACAGCAGCGCAGCAGCGTGACCGCATTGCCAGCTTGGGCCAGAATGCCAGACCCTGGCTGCCTCTCTGTCTATATGGAAGTGGTAGCCTCTGTTTGGATGCGTGTGGGAAGTGGTAGCCTCTGTTTGGATGTGTGTGGGCCTGGCCGAGAAGCTTCCAGTCGCTTCCGGTCTGGCCCCGGTGCCTGCGCCCAGGCCCAGCTCTGCTGTTAGAGGGCCTGGGCCCCTTTACAGTTGGGCACTCCCGACTTTTCCAGACTTCAGCCGTTTGCTGCATCTGCACTTCCCGTAGGCCCTTGGCCACTTCGTGGTGTATCTGCCTCGCATTGTGTGTGCCCAGGCACAACTACCTGGTGCAGCACATGTTTTCTCGAGTGAGCAGCGAGGCTCACGTTTCCCCGTAACCAACTGGCGTGCTGCAACTGCCTGAGTACCCACATATGGAAAATGTCAAATTTTGGCCTCTTGTGAATATTCAGGCCCGCCTTCACTTAGGGCGGGCACGGAGATTACTGAGGGCCTCTGCCCAGAACATATGCATGACTGATAAGGGCCCCGCGAGGGCTCATTCCTCGCACTGTAATTGCAAGAAGACAGGAAACTACACAGTCCAGTATAGGGTAAATAATAAATATAACACCAGCCATACACAGCATAACATGGAAAAAAAGGCACTGAGCCACAGACAGTGATGCATGCCCAGAGTGAACAGTCGGCAACGCGAAGTCCCAGGATCATAAAATTTGGGGAGAGACAGAATATGACACAGCAGAAGACTTAAAATCGGACACGGAAAGAAGAAGAAGAAGAAGAAGAAGAAGAAGAAGAAGAAGAAGAGGAGGAGGAGGAGGAGGAGGAGGAGGAGGAGGAAGAAGAGGAGGAGGAGGAGGAGGACGAGGAGGAGG